AGGGATCCCTCTCCCAGGACGGACAGACGTGCAATAGATGCCGTGTGTAAATCGAAGAGATAATACATTTTACAGCGTAGGTAGACCGAATGTTTGGAAATGTATGTGTCTACAGTATAATAAGAAGATGAATCCACGAGGATGTCAACAGTCCTATGGGAGCCATTAGGGAAGATGGATGATGAGAGTCAGGCAGAACAGCAGAGACCGGTTCAGCCACGAGTCGAAATCCTGGACTCAGATCAGGACTCAGATCATGACTCAGGATCAGCCACGACTCAGGATCCCGCCATATATAGACACCAATAAGAAAATGTGGGGAAGCTGGGTTATTCGGAACATGAGAGTACACAGGTACAGACAGAGAGAAGGAAGAAGTAAGGTTTCCCCCGACAAACTAAGCCTATATCAGCAAAACTAGGGGCTGAATCTAATCAGCCCTAACTATAAGCTTTATCAAAAAGGAAGGTCTTAAGCACACTCTTAAAAACGGATAGGGTGTCTGCCGTCCGAACACAAACTGGAAGCTGATTCCACAAATGTGGAGCTTGATAAGAAAAGGCTCTGGCTCCCAATGTACTTTTAGAGACTCTAGGAACAACCAACAACCCTGCATTCTTGGAACGCAATGCCCTAGTAGGACAGTAAGTTATAATGAGTAAGATGGCGCCTGCCCATTAAGGCGAGAAGGAGAATTTTAAATTCTATAGGAAGCCAGTGTAAGGCAGCCAGAACAGGAGTAATGTGGTCCCTTTTCCTAACTCTTCGGCATTATTCACAGTGCCATTCATTAACCTTTCTGCTTATAATTTGACCCCATTGTGGCTAGATCCACGGGCGCTGCGTATGCAAACACAATACAGAGGGCCTGAACTGCGAGCGCTGCCGACATTTCCACCACGACCTGCCATGGAGACCCGCCGAGGCGGAGAACCCACACACCTGCAGGGGTGGGAACACACACACGCACGCACGCACGCACGCACGCACGCACGCACGCACGCACGCACGCACGCACGCACCCACCCACCCACACACACACACACACACACACACACACACACACACACACACACACACACACACACACACACACACACACACACACACACACACACACACACACACACACACACACACATGTTATTTATCTTTAAGCTGTGAACGGTTTAAAACCTGAAAACCTTTTGGAAGGCTTGGTAATGTTTAAAGAAACACACTCAAGGCACTTTTTTATGCACTGGTCCATTTTGGGAGATTAGGGTGTTTTTTTAATAACATGTCTACTGTCATCCCTGGAAAATGAAAAACAAAAAAGCAGTTGTCTAAAAAGAAATTGGTTGTCTTAAATAAATGCCTCAACATTTGTTAAGATTGGAATTTCAGTATACAGTAGTTATCAAGATATTTTTGCCTCATTTCAAAATCTCATTGGTTAATGTATATATCAGCTACTTTTCAAGTGTTAAAAAAGTGAAAAAGGAGCTGTTAGAACTACCAGTTTCGAAATTGGGGTTACATCTTGTTGCAAAGGTAATGTTCCACTTCGTCTAATTCATTCTTATTTCTACAATTTCTTCCTCAGAGTGCAACTGTAACGGCCACACAAGCCAGTGCCACTTCGACATGGCGGTGTATCTGGCCACAGGCAACGCCAGCGGAGGAGTGTGTGACGACTGCCTGCACAACACCATGGGACGCAACTGTGAGATGTGCAAACCCTTCTACTTCCAAGATCCTGTTAAAGACGTCAGGGACCCACGAGTGTGTGTCGGTGAGTCTTCTGAACAACCTGTTTCCTGCCATTATGTCGAAATGTTCACTGTTCTAAAATAAAACATCTAAATGAAGTCCATTATTGAGAAGAAAAGCTTTGTTTTCCATGAAACATTCAGAGAAAGTCTGTCAGCCAGCAGGTTGTTGTCATTTCATTTGTTTCCTGGGCCAGAGCACTTGGCTCATTTATCTTCCAATTTTTTTGGTCATTACCTAAGCAGTCATGCAATGATCAGGCTCAACCTTGTTTCAAGTCTGAAACTTGCCTGAAATCTCACCTCTCACTACCAAGTTCCCCTCAACCCAAAAGTATATTTGGTTTTCACTATTCATACAATATCTGAGCTTCACTTGACTTGAGTTCTGTACAGATTTGTACCTAAGGATATTTTTACAGTGCATTCATCTGCTGAAAAGGAAGACTTTCTACTGTGTTTACTAATTGCAAATACCATTTTATTGGGTGGGTCTTCAAGCATGCTTTTTGACATCACAAATAGTTTGAAAACTAATCTTGGTCCAATATACAACCTGCAAATGTGACTTATTCAACTAAAACAAAAGCATTTATTAAATGACTAACATTTGTTCTATTGATTGGTCATTTTTTATACTTTCTCAATGCCGAAATACTTATTCTGGTAAAACAAGTGGGACAACTCAGTTATACACATCTTTAAAATAGATCAACTATCGATTTATCTTGAAGACAGCCCTAGAATATAACCACAGTCCACAAACATTAACCGCACATACACCCTGAAGTGTCACAAGTGTTCTTATCTAGCTAGTTTACAATTTCTGTAGTTTTATCTCTGGCTCTCATTCTTTTCCACTGTTCCCTTCTAACGCTCTCTATCTGACCTCTGACCCTCAGCCTGTGACTGTGACCCGGTGGGATCATTGGAGGGAGGAGTGTGTGACAGTCACACCGACCTGGACATGGGGATGATCTCAGGACAGTGTCGCTGTAAAGTCCATGTCAAAGGCACACGCTGCGATGACTGCAAGGAAGGTTACTACGGACTGAGCCAGAACGACCCTCTGGGCTGCCAGCGTGAGTGTGTTTGTCTGCCGCTGAGACCGCTTCCTGTTTAAATAGGGATGACAATTGAATTATAGTGTTTTGGGAAACACCACCACATTAGATATGTAAATATCACATCCTCCATAATCTCCTTCTTTGTGTTTATGTTTCCATCAGCTTGTAACTGTGACCCTCGTGGCATCATCACAAATGGAGCTCCTTGCGACCAGATCAGTGGGGACTGCTCCTGTAAAAGATATGTGACCGGTCGCTACTGCAGCCAGTGTCTGGTGAGTGAAAACTGTTCTTCTTAGAAAATCTGTCGCTCATGTTGGGCTTCAGATCAAAAGATTTCTTCATATTTAAAGAAGAACATCAGAGTTAAGGCACATGTCTGTACGCTGTGTAGCATTGTGTGATATGCTATGTTTTTCACATAGATTGTGTAATAGAAAAAAAAGCTCTTCCAATGTGGAAGCGTCTTAAACCTGCATTCTTTCTAATGGCCAATGGGGTGAAACTCCACTGGTTGCAAAAAAAGTCAATTAGCATAGAAATCTATGAGAATATGACCATATTTCCCTATTGCATTTTTACTTCAGTAAACACTTCCCTTAATGGTAAAACATTTTCAAAAATAAAACATAAAAAAGCATATGATTAAGGGCATGGCTTCCTTGTGATGACAATTCACTACCATGGCGACTTGTCAATTGAGATAGAGGCTTAGCAATGGGTATCACTCTACAGCTCCAAATATGGTCACTTCTGGCAAAAAAAAAATGCGATAGCTCAAATGCCAAACTTCGAAACGTCAGTCCACAAACTTGTTGCATTATTACAAGCCAAACTGTTTTAGCTTGTCACACAATCAAAGAAAGAAAATCATATGATAGATGTCACTGCGAATCCTGGTGTTGACATGTATTTCCTTCCCTACAGCCTGAATACTGGGGGCTCAGTAATGATCTGGCCGGCTGCAGACAATGTGACTGTGATTTTGGTGGAGCTTTCAACAACAGGTATTCATTATTATAATGTTTTACCTGCATCTCTAAACATGCGTTGGAGAAAGAGAGGTCTTGAACTTTCCAAGTCTTAAGCATTTACACTGTTTGTTCCTTTAGGTGCATGATGGAGAACGGCCAGTGTGACTGCAGGAGGCATCTGATTGGTCGACAGTGTTCGGAGGTTCAGCCTGGGTATTTCTGCGCTCCGCTGGACTACTACAAATATGAGGCTGAAGACGCGACTGGACACTCCCCTGGTGACGCTGCACTACCTGTGAGCACAGTACTATGATTCAAACTAATAATAGATCCAGCAAAATAAGTTCTCTGCCTCTATGAGCCGCAGTGCTGGTGAGGGGTTGTTGCCACATGGCACCTGGTAGGAGCCGAAATATAAACGGGCAAGATCAGTTAATCAGAATCAGAAAAAAATCGAACAATTTAAATCAATATATATTTCATGCTGAGAGTCCAATGACAGTCCGATAGATTGCAGTAGATAGAAAAACTGAGAAGCGTTGCCTTTATAACATCTGTGCAATGTTTTCATTTTTAATCTATCCATCACAAGACTATAAACCTTTGTCTAGAATAAAGAAGTTGAAATTCTGTGTGCAAAGGGCGAGAGACATCATCAAAAACCCTGTTGAGTATTTGCTGTAATTGTAAAAACAATTGCTTGTGACGCTTTTGTACACAGCTTCAAAAATAGCTTGAAAGTTATACTTTCACTCTATAATTGTGGAGAAATATTCAGTCAACTGAGTATCAGGCAAAAGACAAATACAAACGTTTTACAATATTTATCTATAGGTTTTTTTTTTTTGAGCTTCTCAGTGGCAAAAACATGCATCTTCGGTGGCACTATTGCCAGATACAACAACATTCATGTTGACAACAAAGGTGCTATTGCTCAATCCTGGACAAGTTTGAAAAAACATGGAGAAAACGGGTTCCAGTTTGAAACAGAAATAGCCCTTTTTCTCATCAAGCTCCCCCCTCTGTGACAGACCTGTTCCTGCTGTCACTGTCTACCCTCTCTCACATTCTTCACTGTCTCCTCCACCCACCTCCGTCCTCTCCACTTTAGGCAGACCCCCTGCCCCCTCCACTTCCCCATTCATCCCTCTGGGCAAGCTCAGACAGTCCTCACTTACAACATCACTGCTGCAGGAATTTGTGGAAAAATGCCATTATTGACTTCAGAATGTTATGAGACAAAGAGCAACAGGAGATATGTCTTTGACATTGTGGGCTGTTGTCTTTAGGGGGGGGGGCATGGCTTGTTCAAACTGATGCTGGATGGAAATAGAGTGCACATGCTGACAGAACATGCAGAATACAGTCAAAGTCCTGCGTTTCTGTTCAGCATTTCAACTCCACAGCTGAAGTGACCCATAAAAACGACAGACTGTGGCACAGATACCAAACTGTCACAACTAATTATTATACAACACAGACTCACTGTCTATTCTCTGTCACGCTCCGGGAATTTCAGCACAGCGGGACACTTAGGGACTTGTAATTTTCACTTTTGGAACAGGAAAAACTTGGATAGGATGAGCCCCTGTATGTTGTGAGAAGGGTTGCTATGAAGTGATATCTATGATCGACACAAACCCTCATGAATCTTCCTCTCCTCTCCTCTCATCTTCTCCCCTCTCATCTCCTCTCCTCAGGGTAAAGTGCGTCCTCAGGCAGAGACTGACTGTGTTCAGCACCTCAGTAACCAGCTGAGGAGGCACCGTCGCCACCGTCGCATCACCAACTCGCAGCAGCACCGCTCGGCACTGAGACGAATCCGCCAGCTTCAGCAAACGGTATGATACATTCTTTGAATTACTGATTTCCTTTTTAGTTTGTCAAAAGATGAAATAACTAGTGTTTTTACAAGTACATCACAACCATTTTAAAACCAACAGTTGTATAGGTTTGTTGTCATTTGCTACATGCACCATTTGACTAATTGAGGGTAACTAGCCTAATTAAAGGCTTTGTTATCAAGTTCACTTTGTCATTTCAAACTAGTCAAGCTGAAAAAGAGATGTGCATACTGTATGTAGGTGTGTGTCCTGAAACTTCAATCAATAAGCAATGGTTAGTCATTGCCCAATTCTTCAGGTAGCTTGAGATCATACAAATTATTATTCAGCTGATCGGATATGTACGCTGTTCTCTATGTAGAGTTAGTGAAATGTAATAATTTATCTCCAGCCTTAAATGAACACATGAAAATCCATCCACCTACTGTATATACATATGTACAGTATAAAGTAGAAGTTGTAGTAATAGTTGTAAAAGGTTAAATCATTCAGTGTGTAATGTCTCTGTCTCAGCCGGATGTGAGGAGCGTCCACAGAGAGCACACCCCCAGCCACATGGTGACGTGGACCGGTCCTGGTTTCGCCCGCGTCAAAGACGGTGCGGGCCTGGTGTTCAATATCGACAACATCCCCTACGCCATGGAGTACGACATCATGATCCGCTACGAGCCTGAGGTGTGTGGAGCGGACCACGAGCCACAAGATTGATGTAAAACTTTTTTTTCTTATTAATGAAGTTTTGTGTGTGTGTATGTGTGTAGTCCACAGAGGACTGGGAGGCTATAGTTAGTGTTACCTCTGTGCTGCTGCCGTCCAGTCTCCGGTGTGGAAATCTCCTTCCAACTGAACAGCTCTACACAGTCACTCTGCCACACCGCAACAGGTACCAACACTTTTACAGCATACATTTTGTTTAACTCTCATGACATTGAAACGCAGAAATGGACAGACTTGACATTACAGGAGATAGAGCTATGTCTTTATTTTGTCACATTAAATCCTGTTGTTGTTTTTCACACGCAGTCTACTCTTTTTGAGTTAAGTGACAAGAAGTAGATAAATACTGTTGCAGGTCAAATCTTAACAACTGGGGTTGAGGTGAAATTGATGTTTTCTTCAGAGTTTGGTATAAGAGTAGGAAGAAATTAAAAGATTTTAACATTATGGCTATACCTGTGTTTCCATGAATATGTTGCTTCGGATGTATATGCTTAAACTTTTACTTACTATCAATTATCTGTATCAATATTGAATTAGTTGAATCAAATAAACAAAGATAACATACTGTGGCATTATCCATGGGACAAAAAATCTCTCCTTTTTGAAAAGCTGAAACTAGCAAATGCAAAAACTGGAGCATTTGAAAGTCAAACCTAAGATAAAACTCATTTGAAAACTCAAATCTATTATACACTTTTTTGATGTGTAAGGTGCAATTATAGCCAGTGTGTTGATTGAAGTCACACGGTGTCGATAGCTGATATTGTATTGCTCAGGAAGATTTGCATTGTTAAATTGTTGTCCCTTGAACCTGCCCTGGCCTGTATGCTCTCCATGAGTTTAGGCATGTATTTGTATTGTTGTTTCACTGTAGCCTGAGGTACGTTTTTCTATTGATTCCCTGATAAGAGCGCACACATACCTGAAAGCTGTGTAGAATCCACTACAGTGATATGAAAGGAAGCCAGCAGCTTTGTTTACAGAAGTGTAGAGTAGGAAAAAAAGAAAACTTGTTGGAGAGAAGCAGAAAACAATCCAGTCTGGATCAACCACATACATCCAATACATACATTTAATTTCCGTACATCTTTAAAGCAAGGGTATGTTATGTATTTTTGATGTTTTTGTTTTATTTGTTGAAAAAGTCTTTAGCAGGGTTTGAAAAATTGATGTCCATTTTGCAATTGGCAAAGACTTATCCCGTGTTAAGAAGAACCCTTAATGGGTTTGTGAGGGACTGTTCACTATTGGCACTATACTGTACATGAAAGAAGAATGGTTAGTTGTTATATTTCTGGCGGTAGGAAGTGTAACAGAACAAGTACACACAGTCGGTCATCGCACAAGCTTTTGACTAAATTGACTAAAAACTTTTTTTGTGACGTCTTCTATTTTGGTTCTTTGAATTTTGCAGAAGTTGAAGAAGACTATTTACTTAAGTAAGAAGTAGCAAATGTACCGTGTCAAAATACTTAGTTACAAATAAAAGTCCTGTGTTCAAAATTGTAAAATTACAAAAGTATAATCAAAAATACAATTATTTATTTATTAGTACCAAAAGTAAATGTACTACTTAGGAAGAATGGTCCATTTAAGCACCATATATTTTTAATAATTGTATCATCATTTTTGATTCATGAATGTGTTCATCACTCCTAAATTAGACTTGAGTTGAATTACTTTATATACTAATGAAAAGCTTAAAGGTAGGGTAGGTAAGAATGGAGAAACCAGCTCGGGTGCGCTAGAATTTGAAAGTACGCAGCCGAAAAAAATCTGCCTCTTCCTTCAGACTTCCTTACAGAGTCCCTCCTCCAACACACACGAACGCGCACATGACCATTGAAGGCACGAGATAAGTTTGTGCACAGATGGAAGGCTGACAGGCAGGTAGGCCATCCAGTTATTTTAGCCGGGCCGGCTCAGATGATTGGTCGTGCTTTTTACAGTACTACGGCTTCCACAGATTACATTTCTTTATGTATTTTTTGTCAAAGCATTTAATATATTCATTGCTATCGGGATGTTAAGAGCATTCCATGGAATATAACAAAAAGTGTTTCTGAAGTGAATTACATACCCCACCTTTAACCTATAATAATATATGAAAATGTATTAGTTTATTTTTATTTTGTATTAATAACTAGTTCTATCTCAATCTGTAAAATAAATTTTGTTAATATAAAAGTACAACATTTGCTCACAAAATAAAGTGGAGTAAAAGTATAAACTAGCATGATGTGAAAAAGCTCACGTAAAGTACTTGGAGTATATGTACTTTGTCAGTTTCCACTTTCCACCAATGGTTTTTTCATATGTTTTGTCAAAGGTCTAGGTTTTGGTATTGTATCATCTAATGCTGGTTAAAAAACGATTGTGGCCAGCAATCAATAAATCAAATGATCCGACGGAAACAAGCAAAAAAACATGTGTCTGTGTCGCAGGAGAGAAATAACACTACACTTGTTCAAAGTACCTACTTTGGCACGAAGATCATTAAAAGCCTTAAATCATTACAGCGCCATATTAACCTCACGATGATCTGCTAGTATTAAAATCGTACTGCACATGAGACCAATAACTGCGGTTCAGTGTTGATTACTCTTGATATTCTTGGTTAGTGGGATATAAGATAAAAACGGTGAGGGCCTCTGTTATGTGCTGAAAAGCCTTTCAGAATCTGAACTGATCTGGAACTTAGAGGTCAGGCCCGCCCGGATCTGGCTGTCTCAGCGGACCGTAGCTGGTCTTCCGTTCTCTCCTGTGGTTGGTCCATCAGCCAAAACCAATTAGCCGAGTGAGCCCAAAACACAGACAGAGGGGCCGGAGTCAAACGCAGGTAGAGGGGGGATCCAGTTTCCTCTGGAGTACACTGGGCACTTGAGAAATAGACAACAAGTCCGAGATAGAAGTAGGAAATAACCTTCCACCAAAACCTAGTCTCAAAAGATACCGTACTTTGTCTGTTTGGTTTAAATGTAATTGCAATATTACCTTTGTCTACCTATTTGCCATTACGAGTTCTTAGCGTAAATATAACAAGTTGGTTCTAATGTTTAGCAATTTCATTGTTTATCAATTTTTTTTTTATTGTCAGAAAAAATATTTCAAATTATTCCTAAAAATACGTTTTGCCAACAGTTAGATGGACTTTCCCATAGACTTAAAATATATTGTAAAAAGTTCCACAAACCCAAGAACAAATGGAAAAGTTCAAAAAACACAAAAATGAATTGAGAATTTCCACAAACACAAGAAGAATCAACAAAAAGTCAAATAAACACAAGGACAAATGGAAAAGTTGAAAAAATAAAAGAAGAAATGGAAAAGCTCATAACATTTTTTTAAATAAATAAATAAACAAACCCAAGAAAGGATGCAACAAAAGGAGTGAAAAAAAATCCATCTGATTAAGTTTACATGGAAAAGTTGAAAAAACCCAAGAGAAGATGGGAAGTTGAATAAACAGCAAAAGAAACATTTTAAACGTTAAAAAACACAATTAAAATGTTCCACACATCAATAAGAAAGAACGACATTTTTCTAACTCTCAAACTAAAAAAATGTCTCCCGCTTTTTCTTCAGACCCTCATACAAGTGTCACTTCAGAAGCCCCTTGGATATATTTTACTTCGACACATGTATATATTTCACTATTTTATATGCATCATGTTTTTCAGATACATCCAGATGCCCCGGCCGTTCTGTTTCGAGCCCAGTAATCGCTACGTGGTTTCCATCCGGTTCCAGCGCCACGGGGTCACACACAGACACCTCACTGCCTTCATTCTCATAGACTCGGTGAGCAATCCCCTTTATTCACTATCATTTAATGTCAATAAAAAGCACATTTCTAGAAAAACCTTGACAAATTTCTGGCTTGTACAATTGTTTTGTGTTTCCTGCTAGCCTTCCCCCCCTCGCTCATAATCCCAGTCCCTTTACATGTACCTCCAATTCTATATTTACATTATAATCCTTTCCTTTTTAACCTTCATCTTTTTTGTTCCTCTAATAGCTGGTTCTAATCCCCAAATACAATGAGCTGCCTGGTTTCCAAGGGAACGAGGTGGAGGCGGAGCAGCGGCGGGAGGAGATGATCCGCTACATGTGTCTGGATTCCTTCATGATCACACCGATGCCCGCCCTGGCCGAGATGTGCTCCAAACTCATCTGCAGCATATCCTCCATCATTCATGATGGGGCTCTGTGTAAGTAGACACAAACACACAAAACATGCAGATATTTAAAAGATGTGGGGTCAAATGCGTTGGCAATTCCTGGATCGCTTTCTTTTTATTTATTTTATTGGTGGTAGTTTTGAAATTGTTAAGTATTATTTACATGTGTCACATTTAGGCTCCCAATACAGACATTTCCATTTTTTCTACATCAACTTAAATCTACATCATATTAACCTCTATAATCTTTCATTAAGATGTAAACCGCTCCTTCCATTTCTGTGTAAAAAGATGACATATTGTCCTATTTATCCGAATTGCATCCCCTTGGATGAGAGTTTTTTCACATGGAAGTAGAAGGAGTCATCCCCGACTTACTTCACCATTTCATTGTGAGTATTATACAGGAAGTGATTGAACCACTTCTCTTGTTAATTAAGAGACTCTGGGACATTTCCCGGCAGGCATAAGAGGGAATTTGCTGACACCTGTTGGTGCATGGTTGAACTGATGATTGAGTAAATTGCCCTCCACAATAATTATGTTGCAAGTATTTTAACATTTGGGGCACAAATAGAATTCCTGCTTTATCTTTATAATTTTTTTCAAATGTATAAACTTAGTATAGTCCATACGTGTACATTGTTTGAAAATAAAAACTAAGACAAAGAAACTTGCCTTATCGTATGCAATTTAAAAAGTAATTATTAAACAAATACAATTCAATTCAATTAAAAACCTTTATTTATTCAGGTGAAAACCCATTGAGATCATTGACCTCTTTTTCAATGGTGACCTGCTGCAAGTAGGTTCCAACATGAATACAAACATGACAGAAAAACAAAGAGGACATCATATGGCATATTCAAATATTAAAATACATTGAAAGTAATACAGAATTCACAAAAATAATCAAGGGGGGGATAATTCTAAAAACGAAAACACTAACATATTTAAAGGGAGATTAAACATCATTGCAAGACATTGATCATTCCTGCTTTTTACTGACTACAAACATGCAGTGATAAATACTTGGATGCATTATAAATGACATGTGCTGATCTCTGTATCTTCTGTGTGCAGCGTGTCAGTGTGACCCTCAGGGCTCCCTCAGTGGGGAGTGTGACAGGGTGGGGGGTCAGTGTCGCTGTAAACCCAACGTGATGGGTCGCCGCTGTGACCAGTGTTCTCCAGGAACATACGGCTTTGGAGTGAGCGGCTGCACTGGTGAGTCAGATCTATCATCAGCAACGTCTGTCACATGCTTCACACAACCACACCAGAAATGACACCAGACCATCATCACAATCACAGCAAAGTAGAAAACTAGAAGATCCAGACAGACGCCACGACACACTTCTAGTGGGGTGTACGTTCTAATAGTCAAAACATTTATATGCAGTTTTTTTTATTCAAGTTTATACTTTGAAAAAACGATTGCTATATACACTTCTGCACTTTCAGCAAATGTAATTTACATTTTTCGAATTGTAAAAAAAAAGAAAAAGGGTTAGGGTTATACATTAACCCCACAAAGACCAAACTTAAATAATGTATTAACTACAACTTTTTGCGACCGACAGTTTTTCCTAACTTTTGAACACAAATAAAAAGAAGAGCCACTAGGCAGCACGCTACTTCACAATACAGGCTTGCTCAATACAGTTTGGGTCATCCAATCACATTTGTATTGTATTGCCTTTTTATATGTATTTGATCACTTATTTGTATGAACCATTGAACTTAACGTACAAGGTCAGAATGAGTGTATATATATGTATATATATATATATATATACATATATATACATATATATATATATATATATATATATATATATACATACAAATATAAATATATATGTTTAGTTCTGTGTGCTGATGTGCTATTTATGTTTGTATATCATGTTATGTTTTTTATAAAAGATATCTTAACCTATGCATTTATTCTAGTCACTTAGTGCTCTGAAAAACAGTGACTAACCCTTTGAACCTGCCGTCCGACCCAGCCTGTGACTGCCACTCAGAGGGGTCTCTGAGCCACCAATGTGACCCAGCCACAGGACAGTGCCAGTGCAGGCAGGGAGCCACGGGGCGTCAGTGCTCAGACTGCCAGCCGGGCCAGTGGGGCTTCCCCAGCTGCAGCCCCTGTCAGTGCAACGGCCACGCTGACCTCTGTGACCCCCGCACGGGGGAGTGTCGGGACTGCAGGGACTACACAGCAGGACACCTGTGTGGGCGGTAAGAGTCCCTCTGAGTCAGACTGTCCCCCCGTCCCTGAATATTAGACTGATGATGACTGTCTCCCTCGTCTGTCCCAGTTGTGTGGATGGGTTCTTTGGAAACCCGGTGCTGGGTTCAGGGGAGCACTGTCGGCCCTGCCCCTGCCCCGGGAACCCCGGCTCGGGTCACTTCAACGGGCACTCCTGTGAAGCTGACCAAACCTCCAACCAGATCATCTGCACCTGCAGACAGGGCTACACTGGTAAGCTAGCACACTGAACACACACATGTTCTTATTTTTGTTTATCACTTTTTGCTCTACTATGGTTCAGCTATATTGCATGTAATAGTTTACTTTTTCCTGCATTTCACTTGCATTATTTGATTATTTGTTATTTCTTAAGCATATATTTTTGATGCATAGTTGGAGCGGCCTAGGACTTTATATTTTCATTGCCAAATCTACAATGGAGCTATTATGCATATGCAATGAAACCCCTTTGAATCTTTGAATCGCCCGTGGTCTGATTAGAGTTATATATTGTAGGTGATCCTGCAATCAAACATGAAATACTTACCCTCTACTTACCTCTCACATCAGAAGTCTTGAAGCTAATTGTCATGCTATATTCTCCCTTTTATCGCTCCCCTTAGGGTCCCGCTGTGACCAGTGTGCCCCTGGTTTCTATGGCAACCCAGAGCAACCTGGCGGGCAGTGCCTCCTGTGCGAGTGCAACGCTAACATCGACACCCAGGACCCCGGGTCATGTGACCCCCGGACCGGCCAGTGCATCAAGTGCCTGTACCACACCGACGGCTCCTCCTGTGACCACTGTCAGAACGGTTACTTTGGCAACGCTCTGGTACACGACTGCAGACGTGAGTTAGGATAGCAGATGTCACATTTAATTCCTTTAAGTTGCCTAGTGTTAGGGGTGTATTGCATATTTTTCTTTTACTATGACTCATTCCAGATTCAATACCAAACCCCCTAGTATTGAAATGGCAGTGTGCGAAGTTTTAAGAGAAAATTAAGTTTCATTATTTGTGTATCAGTATATATTTACAAACAAACTGTCTCCTCTCTGTCTGGGCATTAAATATTGGTTTCCATCCTCAGGCTGTACTTGTGTGACTGCTGGCACGCTGCAGTCTGCGTGCCCTGACGGAGAGTGTCAGTGTGACCGGCAGAGCGGGGCCTGCTCCTGCAGGGAGAACGTGGCGGGCCATAACTGTGACCAGTGCGCCGCCAACCACTGGAACTATGGTCAGGACCGAGGCTGTGAGCCCTGCGGTTGCGACCCCCAACACTCTCTGGGAGCTCACTGCAACATGGTGAGCAAGCAGAGGGTCTGAAAGCCTGGGAATGGATAATGCAAACTGGGATGAATAAATAATGGTCTTCTTCTCTCTGTCTTCAACAGTTCACAGGGCAGTGCCACTGTCGTCCAGGCTTCGGAGGGAAACAGTGCACTGAGTGTGAGCAGTTCCACTGGGGAGACCCGCAGGTGCAGTGTCAAGGTATCTCACCATGTGACAGATACTGCTGGATGAATACCACATGTGCACAGAAAATGGGAATACTGTACTGTAAAGCTAACAGTCATGACTCATGAGTGTTTTTTTTATTTAGAGTAGAAAACATTTAGTGAAGCTGTAAAACAATCAGTGTGTCAGTGTTTGGTGTTTCATGGCCGAAACCAAAACTTCCCTTCCTGTACCTTTCCAATAAATAAATAATATGTAACTTCCCTCATTAGAATATCTTAAAATTACTAGACATACGTTATATATTTTTGTTGAGTTGTGTTTTGATATATAATCACAAATGTTTCTATCTCTTTTGAAAATCCTGAAATCCATGATTTTAATCAGCTAACAGTTGTATCGCTTTTGTGTAAGTCTATATTTTTACCAGGTGATGGATTTTGTCATTATAGGCCAGCGTCTTAACTAATCAGAGAAACATGCTGAGGGAACATTAGTGGCAGTTTTGCCAAACATCATCAGAGAAACACACATTTTAAATATGAAACGGCTTTATTCTGTGTTTTTACGCATTCCAATCACCGGGTCCGTTTGATTTTGAGCGGAGGAGACTTTTGAGCATCATTTTTAAAGCATGCTGATGGGTGAACACTTAAGGCAACCTAACCACTAACCCCCATGATTCCACGCTACCTCACAACAAGGGCGAAGTAGCTTCAGTCTTTTTTTAGAGGCCATACAAATAAAATAATGTTTACTTTGTCCTCCCTCCTGTCCTTCAGAGTGTAACTGCCACCCTCTGGGCTCGGAGATGGCTCAGTGCGACAGGTTGACGGGGAAGTGTGAGTGCAGGGAGGGAGCGGCAGGGAAGCACTGCGATGAATGCGCCCGTGGCTTCACCGGCGTCTTCCCTGAGTGCGTCCGCTGTCACGCCTGCTTCCAGCTGTGGGACGACGCCATTTGCCAGATCAAAAGAGACCTGGAGCACATCCAGTACACTGCGCAGAAGATCCTGGAAAGCGGAATCACTTCAGGAGTCGGGGACACGCGAGTCAAAGAGCTGGAGAAGAAGCTGAAGCAAGTAAAAGATCTGATCAGTTCTGAGGACAGCGACAAGATCCACCAGCTGATTGGACAGAGCATCGATGACCTCAGGTGATGATGTCACACAGTGCTGGGATGTTTATTTGGCATGATTTGTCACCTGCCAGTAACTGTCTAGATGTTATATTGAAATATCCTGCTGTTTGTGTTCCAGGGCTGAGATCGCCCTGACCGACGGGCGCCTGATGGGCGTCACCAGAGAGCTGAATATAACAACAGAAGATGAAGGGGCGCTGAGACAGACCCTGACTGGCCTGGAGAGAGAGCTGAGGGACATCAACACCACCGTGGCTCACAAACACAGCCTGCTGCAGGACTACCTCACCTCAGGATTTGCAGGTAGCAAACTCAATCAAGTCAGTGAGGCTATGCTGACATTGTGTGACATTACAGTCAATCTTATATGACACTTGCCATTATGGGTGAAAATATAAAAATGTTCGAGCTGGGAGAGGAGGTTGGAAAAACTTCTTTGTAGATTCAATTCAGAAAAGTATGGAGAAAATAGAACTCAAAGAATAATTTGATGAAGTCTCCCACTTCAGGCATAATACTGTATCAAGCAAGTGACGTTGATCAAACCTTCCAACGTGGTTCTTCACAAAAGATTTTTAATGTTGTAACTTAATTTTACAGAATTAGTTTGAGATGGATGACTTTGTCTTCACGCAGAATATTTGAAGTTTATTTTTGTAAATTTGTGACTTAAATCTTTGAGAATTTTAGATTTTTGTTCTTGTTATTTAATGAATGTATAATTATAGAGAATATCATTCTCTATAATTAATACATTTATTAAATAATTTATAGATACATGTATTTTCTTTTTACGTACAATGGCCCTAATATGCTGCCATAGTGTAAACAAGAGCATAAGCAAACATATAAAAACATGTGTGATACACAAAAATCATGACTACAAACAGATATGTTCAGATTTTCTGTGGTGAGCAATTGCAAAATGTAGATAGATAGATAGATGGAAATAAACTTGATTTGTCCCAAGTTGGGAAATCGTTTTGTCACATCGTAATTCAAGTACAATCACTGTCAACAAAGCTGAAATGTTAAAATAATGTGAGAGAAATTCTGATGAAAACATAAACCCTTTGCCTGTCTTCACAGATCAGTTTGATAAAGTGAAGCGGTTTTATAATGAGTCGGTGAAGGCACAGGAGAAATGCAACGCCTCGGTGTCCGGTCCCCTCAGTCCCGTGGAACAGTCCAAAGAGACCCGGGCTGTCACCGAGGATCTGTTGAATGCCAGCAAAGACAAGTTCCTGCGGGCTCTGGCTGCTCAGAACAAGTCTCTAAACGAGCTGCAGGACAAAGCCCACGACCTGGACAAGAGCGTCCAGCACCTCAGCAACAAGGTGGGCGGGGTCAGGGGCGTCATCACTTCCTTCCTTACTTACTTCCTCCCTTCATCTTGAAGTGGATCATCTGAGATACAAAAAAGGTTGTTTTGTAAAGTATTTCTCAATTGTGCAGAATCAAGTAAAAGCATTCGAGTTCATTTAATTTTCCATTTATTTTTTGGAAGAAGGTCTTAGGAATAGAGGAAATATTGAGAGAGATATCCTCCTCCAAAAAAACGATAATGCAGGATGTTTTGTCTTATAATAACTTATTCAGAACATATTTGTTCTTTCATCAATGGTGAACTAGATCAGGGGTTCCCAAACTTTGCCATGTCAAGGACCCCCATATAGCATTATCCTCTGGCGGGGACCCCCCTGTTGCAATTTTTTTTTAATGATGTGTACAAGTGCCTCGCGATGGAACATGCAGTGCGTTGCCACTACATTTGGGGCCTTCTGCCTGATCGAAGCTGTCACTCCGCTTTCTTTGCCTGACATAGCCCCACTGCCCCATCTGGACACACACCCACACAACGAGACCAGTCAAGTCCGTTTGAGATGATGTACTCATCTAAAACTTGGAAAATGTCTCTTCATGTGGTCCTACCTTCCAGTGCTTTGCAAAATAATATTTCCTCAACAAAGTTGTCTTCTGAAATTAATCTGATGTATGCAAGCAATTCTGCGACATTTGCTACATCCGTGCTCTCATCCAGCTGCAGAGCGAAACATTCACTAGCTCTCACTTGCTCCAAAAGCTGAGCAGATTTTCAATCTCAGTAGCGGCAGCTCGATTCTGGGCTTGAAGGGCGGTCGTGTGATTCATAAACAAAAAATATGAAAAGATTGGCATCAAAGGACACATAGCTTGATAGATATGCAGTTATTAATAACATTAAAAAAAAAACATAAAAGATCAAACTTCAAAAAAAAAAAAATCCTGTTTCCCTCAAACTTTGAGTGACCCCCCTGGCGCCCCCTGGCGGCCCCCCGGGGGATCGGGGCCCCCACTTTGAAAAACA